TCCTGATTTTAGTAATTTGAACTTGTCCGTTTTTTGCTTGGTCAGTGTAGCTAAAGGTTTGTCAATTTTGTTGACCTTTTCAAAGCACCAACTTTTGGTTTTGTGGATTTTCTCTATTGTTTTTCTATTCTCTATTTCATTAATTTCCAGTCCAATCCTATTATTTCTTCTGTTTGCTCTGGGAATATAGTTTGCTCTTCTTTTTTCGATGATTTAAGGCAGAAAGTTAGGTTATTTTTTGAGCTCTTTTTAAACGTAGGCATTTACAGCTATAAATTTATAAGCATCCTTTAGCTGCATTCCATAAGTTTGGTATGTTGTGCTTTCATTTTCATTCATCTCAAAATATCTTCTAGTTTCCTTTGTGATTTTATCTTTGAATCATCAGTTATTTACAAGTGTACTGCTTAATTTCCATACATTTGTGAATTTCCCAAATTTCTTTCTGCTATTAATTTCTAATATCTCTCCCTTGGAATTGGAGTACTTACTTTGTACAATTTTAATCCTTTTAACTTTCCTGGGTTTTTTTTTTTGTTTTTTTTTAAGGCCTAGCATATGGTCCATCCTGGAGAACATTCCATGTGTACTTGAGAAGAATATGTTCTCTACAGTTGTTGGGTGCAGTGTTCTATATATATATCAGTTTAGTCTATTGGCTTACAGTGTGGCTCAAGTCTTCTATTTCCTTGCTGATCTTCTATATGGTTGTCCACTATTGAAAATGGGTTATTAAAGTCTCCAACTATTATGTTGAACTGCCTATTTCTCTCTTTGAATCTGTTGGTTTTGCTTCATTTACTTATTTTTGGCTCTGTTGTTAGATACACATGCTGTTATATCTTGATAGATTCACCCTTTTATATTATTATAAAATCTATTTTTTAAATCTCTGATAACATTTTTGTTTTAAAGTCACTCTTAGTACAGCCACTACAGTTTTCTTATGGTTGTCCTTTGCATGATACATCTTCTTCTGTCATTTACTTTCAACCTATTTCTACCTTTGAATAGAAAGTATGTATCCTGTAGGCTGTATATAATTGGATCTTTTTAAAAAATCCAACATGACAATCTGTTTTTTGAATGAATTATTTAATCCATTCACATTTAATGCTATTATTGACAAAGTTGGATTTACTTCTGTCTTTTACTTTTTGTCTTCTATATAGCTCACTTTTTAAAATTCCTCTAGTTTTTTTTTTTTCTTTTTTGCGGTACGCGGGCCTCTCCCTGTTGTGGCCTCTCCTGCCGCGGAGCAGAGGCTCCGGATGCACAGGCTCAGCGGCCATGGCTCATGGGCCCAGCCGCTCTGTGGCATGTGGTATCTTCCCGGCCCGGGGCACAAACCTGCGTCCCCTGCATCGGCAGGCGGACTCTCAACCACTGAGCCACCAGGGAAGCCCCCTCTAGTTTTCCTTTAACACTTTCTTTTGCATTAAGTAAATATTTTCTAGTATAACACTGTAATTCCTTTAATGACTTTCTCACTATATTTCTAAAGTTACTTTCTTAGCAGTTGCTACAAGGCTTGCCTGCCATATACATCTTAACTTGACAGACTCTTTTTCAGATATAAATTAACTTAATTCCAGGGCTCCCAGAGCTCCCTCTTCCCCCTTTTTGTGCTATTATTATGCATACTACATCTACATATGCTAAAAGCCAAACAATACAATATACTGTACAATACACTGTATACATTGTTACACAATACACTGTTATGATTATTACTTTATAAAATTTTATGTCCATTAAAGCAGCTGAGAAAAGAAAGGAGAGCAAGTAAATATTTACAGAGTCTGCTATAGTGACCCTCTTATTTACCATTTTGATTTTCTTCACTGATTCCTGTCAATTCGAGTTACCGCCTTGTCCAATTTCCTTACTCCAATACAACTTTGGGTCCACTCACCTTCTTTGATCTGTTATTGTCAAATACATTACATTTCTATATGTTATAGGTTCAACAATGTAACTATAAACACATAGTTTTATACAACTGCTTTTGAAATTAGTTAAGGAGAAGAAATATGCACATATATTGTCTTTTATTATTATACAATTTCCTCCACTGATCCTCTGTTTTTTTGCTGTGTGAATTTGAATTACTGGCTGAGGTAACTTGCTTTCAGCCAGTATTTCTCCTAAGGCAGGTCTGCTAGTAGTGAATTCCCTAAGTTATTGTTTATCTAGAAAGCTGTTTATTTCACCTTCATTTTTGAAAGAAGGTTTCACTGGATGTAATTCTTGGCTGATTTTTTCCCCAGCACTTTGAATATGTCATCCCACTCCCTTCTGGCCTCTATCATTTCTGATGAGAAGTAAGCTGATAATCTTACTGGGATACTCTTGAACATGATGAGTCATTTTTCCCTTGCTACTTTCCAGATTTTCTCTGTCAGCATTTTCATTATGATGTGAATGGGTGCAAATCTTTCGAGTTTATTCTACTTGCAGTTCTTTGAACTTCTCAGATGTGTACATTAATCATATTTGGGAAGTTTTCAGCTATTATTTCTATTTTTTTCTGTTCCTTTCTCTCTCTCAGTGAACTTTTCATTCCAGTTATTGTATTTTTCATCTCTGGAACTTCCATTTGGCTTTTTATATCTCTTATCTCATTATTAATATTCTCTATTTGATGACACATTGTCATCACTGCTTCTTTGAGGATAGTTTCCTTTAGTACTTTGACCATATTTATAATGGCTGCTTTGAAGTCTTTGTTAATTCTGGTATGTGGGCTCCCTCACAGGCAATTTCTGTTGCCTGCTTTCTCCTACGTTTGGGTCATACTTTCCTGTTTCTTTGCACGTCTCGATTTTTGTTAAAAACTGGACATTTTAAGTAAATACTGTAGAAACTCTTGATACTCTTCCCTCTTTCTTCTTTCAGGGCTTGTGGTTGTTTTCTTGTTTATTTGTTTTAATGCCCTGGCTAGCCTATTTCAGTAAAGTCTATTTCTCTGAGGACTGATGAGGCCATCTGGCAGAGAGCGCAGCCTTGGGCATGTGTCCCTGGATGACAGTGTTTTAGCAGGGCTCTCTTTGTCTGGCTCTTTCCTTGATATCTCTGTTAAACTTTCTGCCTCATCTAGTATGAAACTCAGTTGTCAGGCTCCACTAACTGCCGGCTGAATGCTCTACTGTTTTTGACAATGCCTTGAGGCATAAATTGCTCCAAAGTCTGATTCAATTAAATTCAGACAGGGGTGGTTTTTGAGACTGAGGTTTGTTTTGACCTCAGCTTTAAGTTCTTCTTAGCCACCTCTTTCCTTGGTTCTCTCTGGTGAACTAGCTGGCATACGGTTTGGCTTTTTGTTCTCAATTAAAAAGAGCTCCTTTTATTTTCTTACCACCAAAATCTACACTGTTTCTGAGAGTGACCTTGAGCTCAAACTTCCCAACATTCTGTTCTTACCTATTACCTCTCCCCCTGGCAAAATCTCAGTGCTGTTACTCTGAGCAGGATAGGTAGCCTCTATAGCCTCCTCAGCTTGCCTCTCCCTACACAGTGGAACCTCTGTCCTACAAGAGAGCTGGGGCAAGGGCAATACGGGCCATAGAATTCTTGGCCTACTGGGCCTGGGTAGAGCTTCTGTACTATGAGTACAGTATGGAGGTGGGTGGAGGGAAGGAGCCCCTGGCATTATGCTAAATCAAATAAGTCAGAGAAAGACTGTATGATATCATTTAATGTAGAATCTAAAAAAGCTCAGAGAAACAGCTAGTGGTGGTTACTAGTGGTGGGGGGGGGGGGGGGTGGGGGGGGGTGGGAAATGGGGAGTTACTGGTCAAAGAACACAAACTTCCAGTTATAAGATTAACAAATTCTGGGTATCCAGTGTATAGGATGGTGATTATAGCCAATAATACTATATCATATAATTGAATGTTGCTAAGAGAACAGATCTTAAATATTCTCACCAGAAAAAAAGAAAGGGTAATTATGTGATGGGATAGAGGTGTTAGCTATTGCTACAGTGGTAATCATTCTACAATATATAAATGTATAAAATCAACACATTGTACAATTCAAACTTACACATTATGGGAGGGCAGGGGAGGGGAGGGGAGGGGAGGGAGAAGGAAAGGAGCCCCTGCCCTCTTGGCTATATTCATCAAGAATTTAGCGTCTTCCACTCGGAGCTGGAAGGGATGAGAAAAACCGGTAGCCTGCCTCTTCCAGTGAGATTCTGTATTCCTTGTTTGGAAGCTGAGGGAGCCCTGTCTTTTAGGCCACACCTGTCCAGAGTGGAACCTGCATCAAGCAGAAATTCTAGTGTCATAGGCTCTCAATGTTCTCACTAAATTTTAGTAGATTTTCTAGAAGAAATGTTTCCCCACTTGTTGTACACTCTGAGAACAACTTCCACAGACTTTATGTGGATGTTTGTTGCTGCTGCTGTTGTATACAGGGTTTGTTTAGTTTCACTGACCAAGCAGGTCCACGGAGCTCCACACTCTGCCATCCCAGGAATGAAACTCCTCTCTTCACTTTTATCTGCATGATTCCAGTGGGAATTCCTGGGTTTGTACAATTTGACCCCAGAGTCAAATGCTTTGGGTTGAGCACCTCACCCAAAACAGGCCACAGTAGTTCACCAAGGAGCTGGAGCTGAGACTAGGAGTACACACATTTACTAGGCAGCCTACTTGTCAGAACGGAGGAAAGATAAGACTAAAGAAACATGTAGAAAGAAGTGGAAAGAGAGAAAGAACCCTCTGCGTTCCTAGAAATGCTCCAGTAATGTTTCCAGTTGATTCCTTGTGTTCTGCAACAAAGCCCCTGTCCCTGAAATCGGGTCTGCTTTAAGGGAGCTCAAAGAGGTTCTGTCACTGGCTATCAAAAGTCTTAACAATCATGATCCAGGACTGCCCTGAGGGAAATTCTACTTTGAGCAAATTTCAACTTATTCTGCTTGGAAAAGAGGTCAAGAATGGCTCTAGGAACCCAAAGGAATGCTCCCCACCTCTCAGGAGACCCATCCCGAGTACCTTGATTGTGCTCAGATTCCTCATTAGCCACTCGCATCAGGGCATCTAGCACCAAAGCACTGTCTAGCCAGGTGTACCACTCCTCCAACTCCTGAAGGAAGCTGGCTGTGCCCGTTGACTCTGACACCTTTCGAGTTGCCAGCTTGCAAAGCCGCTCGACAAAGCCAGGGATGCTGAGAAGGGCCGCTGTTGAGGAAAGAACAAAAGAGGAAATGTCAAAACAGAGACCAGCTCTAAAGCACTCAACAAACAACCAGCTTCTCACCTTAATCTGACAGCAGTTAGTCAGAGCTTCCCTTTAAAATGAAATGCCAACCCAAGGTAAAATAGTAATAAAGTTATAAAAACAAATTCAATTTTAGCAGGTGCAGGGAAACAGACTCATATCTACTGGTGGGAATATAAACTGGAACAACCTTTATGCCGTAAATCTGTGTGTCTCTGAGCTAGGAGGTCCATTTCTGGGGAATTACCATAAAGAAACAACTAATTATATATACGTAGATATCTGTATAGAGAGGTTCATTGGTGTGGTTTCTATAACAGCAAAAAGGTAGAGATAACTATATATTCATTAATAGCATACTGATTAAATGATACATCCATGCAGTGGAATACAACACACAGACACTAAGAACAATGACACACACATCTTTATACAGCAACTCCAGAAAGATGTTTGAATTTACTTGTTAAGGAAGTAAATTATTATTATTTTAGTGATTTTTATAAAAATTTATTTATTTATTTTTTGGCTGCGTTTGGTCTTCGTTGCTGTGTGCGGGCTCTCTCCAGTTGTGGTGAGCAAGGGCTACTCTTCTTGCAGTGCGCGGGCTTCTCATTGCGGTGGCTTCTCTTGTTGTAGTTGTGGAGCATGAGCTCTAGGCGCGTGGGTTTCATTCAGTAGTTGTGGCACACGGGCTCAGCAGTTGTGGCAGCTCTTGAGTGGGTTTCATTCAGTAGTTGTGGCACACGGGCTCAGCAGTTGTGGCTCGTAGGCTCTAGAGTGCAGGCTCAGTAGTTGTGGCGCATGGGCTTAGCTGCTCCGCGGCATGAGGGATCTTCCCAGACTAGGGATCGAATCTGTGTCCCCTGCACTGGCAGGCGGATTCTTAACCACTGTGCCACCAGGGAAGCCCCAAGGAAGTAAATTATTAAACAGTATTGGCCTAAGCCCATTTTCTTTAAAATTTTTAAAGTTTTCTTCTTTAAAATATGCACATAATATACACATACACAGATAAAGAATGGAAGGATATATACCAAGGTATTTACTGTGGCTGTTCCTGAGTAGGAGAGGATATAAATGCTTCTTTTAGAACTACTTAACTGGGGCTTCCCTGGTGGCGCAGTGGTTGAGTCCGCCTGCCGATGCAGGGCACATGGGTTCATGCCCCGGTCCGGGAAGATCCCACATGCCACAGAGCGGCTAGGCCCGTGAGCCATGGCCGCTGAGCCTGCGCGTCCAGAGCCTGCGTGTCCGGAGCCTGTGCTCCGCAACGGGAGAGGCCACAACAGTGAGAGGCCCGTGTACCGCAAAA